GTTTTCGAGTGCTTTGTCATCATTTAAGTAATTCAACATTCATTCTCGAAGAGCCTGTATATAGTGCTATAAATACATACAATATTTTACAATATATGGTTTACAGTATATAAACAGATGTATGCTTTGTACAAAGATTTTTTTTTTCAAGCTGGTTTTTTAAATAGGTTGTAGAATATTTTAATACCTTATTTTATTATAGCATTATCTTGACTATAATTTATATTCCGGTACTTTGTTTTGCATTTTTATGTTACCTCTGTTTCTTTATCGTAAGTTTAAATCCTACCTGATTACCTACGTACGTTCCTGCGGTACCTGTAGGAGGATTTTGAAGGTCTGTCTTCAGTCGGCTTTTAAGGGTGGGGATCTGATGAAACAGAGTTTGAGTTGCAACCCACACGTTCCACCTACGGTTGGACCAGGCGCTGCGTGCCTAACGATAACATTGATTTCGAAAGCTTTTTTCTCGCTTGATGGATGTTATTGAAACAAGGTCTTTCTTTGCTTTTATTGTCTCACCGATTCGTTTTCGACCTCGATTCGCTATGAAAAGGTCTCCATCATATATTCATTCACAAATTTATCCATTTTTTAGTTTTATTTCGTAAGATGATATTTAAAACCCTTGCCCTGAAAATCGTGTGCATGAGGTAACTTACATGTTGTTATTACCTTCGGGTGGTTCGTTTTTGCTTGTTTTGACTATTATTAATCAAATTAGACCGTGGTAAACAAAAAATACGTAATTATCTTTATCTTGCTCATGAATAAAAATTTACTAGGTAATCTTTTGATGAATTTAATTCAAAATAGTCTCTTTATTATTTCTGCAAAGACTGAATTGTTTATTATACTCTCTGTATTTCATTTCTTATATAAAAATTACCCGAGTATTCTGTTTTGTTCAACTACTGTTAAAATTTGATTCGCATATGACAAAAATTGACCGAGAGATTTGATTTTAAAGTTTCACATTAGGCTTTCTGAGAATTCTGGAATCCTGCGCAAACTGAAGAGCGAAATATACAAATCTGTATGCAACTAAAATGAAGCCACCCAACCGGTTGGCAGATACTTTTCGAGTCTTTGTCATCATTTAAGTAATCCAACATTCATGGAGAAGTGGAACGGAGAAGGCGTGGATGTTTGTAAATGTCCATCTGGCATGAGGACACTCCAAATATGCGGCGAGTCCTCTCGAGAGGTTATGGTAAGGGAAGAGTTGCGGGAGACCCTCGGACATATCCCCCTGGGTGCTCTCCATCAAAATTTGGGGGTGGAACTGAGCTAAATCGCATTGTCACTCAAGGCTGGTTGCCAACGACATTCGTAAACTTGCGCTTCTTACCACGAGGAATTTCGTGGGCTTGAGCTAGCTATAGGTCAGACAAGTGATCATTAGCAACAACAACAACTAAAATGAAATATCAGTTAAGTAAAATGTTTTTTAAAATTAATAGTTTAAATTATGAGCACTGTTGTACAGAAAGTTTTGATCAATACAATTTTTTAAAAGAAATTGTATTCACAGACTCGTACAAAATTCATATTCTTCACAAATAGTGACTCGCTTAAAGTATTAGCACATTGACAACTTTTAACGTATTTTGCATACGTTAAAAGTGAAAAGTATTTCTAGGCCAGTGAATATTTTGACGTGATTATTGGATTATGATTTTAGGCAATAAAAATTGGATGTAAATATTATCAACTCATTTTTGGCATCTGAAATCTTAGAAAAGCTTTCAACATTCTAAATGTAGCAAAATTAAAAATTAAGGATATTACTTGCTGGTAAATCGCAAAGAAATATCACCGAATGATATTAAAGAAAAATATTTTTAATTAGCCTAATTTAGTTTTTAACTAACCCCTATAAGAAGGCAAAGCATTTAACTTTCTGACGCCTTAAAACCCATAAAAGTGCCAAATATGTCTGTCTGTTTTTGTCGTTCGAGAGTCAAATTGTTTCGAATATGTAACAAACTCTTACGAAAACAACTATATTGATCGGAGGACATTATAAAAAATTTAATTTCATAGTTTTAGGCAATTTTTTTAAAATTAATGTATACCAAAACATAGATATATGTATCATTTAAAGCATTTTTGTAATTGGATAGATATGCCTATGATCAACGGTTACGAAATTAAGGCCGCATAAAGACGTATTTCATCAGTTTCGTGATATCGAAAAATTCTCAAAAGTCTCTACAATTGGCGCCCGAGTAAAACGATGATAAACGATAATTTGTCACCGCCAACATTTGGCGATTGGGTCTCCTAATTCCTAGTCATCCTTTAAAGAAAGGGAGTGTACAAAGTTTTTTAAGTGCATTCGGGGGCTCTTGAGTTCGAGTCCCGGCAAGAACATTGCACATTTTTAGCATTCCACTATCAATGTACCTTAATGACTGTACAATACTGTTACGTATTTTGTATATATGTAAATAACTTTAATGAAATTATATGTGAGATTGTAGTATTTTTGGTATAATGTAAAACGAAATGCTTTAAAGAGATAACTCTTTGCAGGAGAAGTAAGATTTAAAGGGGTACGTCTATTTAACATTGAATGAATGGCTGATATCGCCCAGCTAGCGATGGGTTTTGGCGACTAATTTTTGTCTCCAAATTTGGCGAAAAATCATCAATAATCGCCAAACTTGGTGACCATTTGACGAGATTTTGGTACAGTCCCTGTATAACTATAATTGGCTCTGTAACTGAATAACTGTAATTGATCCCTGTATGTAACTGCAACCGTATCCGGTCCTTGTATGCCTTTCAGTAATTTCGAGAAGTGGAAGGTACTAAAAATTTCTCAACGGCGGAGGGGGGGGGCACTATATAATACCGGAGAGAACATCAGTTTCTCAGCTATTAGTTCAGAGCGACTTCGAAGTACTGAGATATCCGCGAGAGCTCCGTCTTTTAGAAGCGCTTTGCATTACATTGTGTTTAACACGCTGAGCGCCACGCGTATGTTTTAGGCAATCCCTTTCAGGCCGCAAGCTTTGCTTAAAAGCGCTGGTATTGTAGGGCCAGTGATTCGGATCGCGGTAGAAGATAGCAACAAGTTGTGAAAAAGAAGACATTCCGTCGAACAAAAATGCAATATCTAGAAAACGACAACATAAACTCCGAAGAAAACCGGGAAAAAAGCCTCGAAGTACGAAAATATTGTAAATTATGTTATGATAAAAATGCAACAGAAGCTGGTAAAGACTAAAAGATGTTTTCATTTTGTAATAGCTGTAATGGAGAACCGTTTTATGTTTTGGTTCAAGAAACGAATGAATCAAATCAAATGAAGTGTTTTAAATAAATTTTGTTAATTTCATAAAACATGTAAATTTTATGTTTTTATATCATCTCCAGCCAGCGGCGGTCCAAAAACGAAGTCTAGTGTCAGCCAAAATGGCAGACGCGACTCAAAGGAAACGGTTTAGTGTCACCAGGATGCTGACGTGTCAGCCCCTCTAAACCTCTGGTGAGCCACAGACATGCGGCCTAAACGGAAAATCTAGTGTCAGCCACAGATGGCTGACGTGGCGCTTTTTTCAACGTGTTAACGTTCTTAGTAGTTTGTAAAGTAACTACAGATTGGGCTGTATGATACTGAGAAGAGCTGGACGAGTGCTTTTGTGTGAAAAGTTCCAGAACTGTAAAGTGTTTCCTTTGGTAAAAATAAACTTTATCAAGCTGTCATCAGTTTGGTGTGTATTCAATGTACTACGAACCCGTACGCACGTAGCAGTACTTTCTATGGTTTACAGAATCAAGTAAAAGAATTTTATTGGAAATTAAGCAACAACTTCCGTGGTATAATTTTATATAAATATTTTTGTTGCAGAAGTTATTTGTCGCCTATGCAATCTGGTCGGAAATAAGAGATTACACTGACAGTTTGTTTGCAAATTAAAATTTAATTACTTCCCTCAAAAATAAACTATTGAAATGTATTATTAAGTCTTTGGACGGATAAATCACCCGGAAGGTTTTAGCCAAGATAAATATTTAATTCCTACAACAGACAGTACTGCGTCTAGAATTTATCGAATATAATTCTTTCTTCTCTGTACCGCTATTTCTAGCTTTTGCGTGATTGGCTTCTAAGGCTAAGTTTTTTTCATAGAAATATAAAATCTATTAAAATTTTTTTAACAGAAGACATGAAAACTCAGCAGCATGCTCATCGGGATTCGAATCACTTATCTTCTAACTACTAGCTGAACATGGTAACCAGTTACACCACGAGATATGCACAGAGGAATGCGATAATTCCTTACAGAAATTTTAACTGCTTTCTCCGTCCCAAACACAGTGAGCGCTGTTAAATCAGGAAAATTTTCAGATATTTTTAAATATAACTTTAGATCTTTCTCTCTCAATATTTCAGTTTCGAATGCTGGTGCCCTTTCAGTTTTATTATTCATCAAAATATTTGCTTCACTTTTGCCACTTATTCCCAAATGGAATGAATAGATTATTTATAACTAAATGCAGCATAATTGTACTGAAAATTGTTGTTACTTCTTTGCAGTTGGTGGCCACCTTAGGTATGATAGTTTTCAACGCCCTCGATTACCTGATGCCCATGGAAGAGGAACGAAAGTTGAGCCGTCCGTTGGAGTCTCTCATCGAGAGGATGACTTCCGCTCATTCCTTCACCGGGAACGACTCTTGTGAGGAAACAGACTCCTCTTCCCAGAATGCTGACGAGGGCATCGAGCAAGACTCAGGAGAGGATGACCACATCCTACACGCCAGCGACGATGCCGATATTGACGTGAAGCATCACAAGGGGCTATCCTTTATCCAAGTCATGGAGGTGAGGTTTTTTTTTTTTTTTTAAACCAGGCATTTCTTAAAAATGAAGTAACTTTAATACTATTCTGGACCTTGACGACAGGCAATTTTGGATCTCGAGAAGACTTTCTCAAGATCTGAATCTTGAGATGCAAATAGAGATAAATGGGATGCGACACTAGAATAGAACTTTACCATTGCCGTACAGGCGTAGTTCTGCCGCACTAGTGGTTGAACTCCGCCCCAGTTTAGATGGAGAATACCCGAGGGATGGTCCAAGGCGTACTTACTCTACCACCAAAGTACACGAGAGGAATTTAGCTCGTTGTGAATTTTGAGTGATGACATACCCTTCAGATGGTACACACAAACATGCATGCTTTCTCCGGAATTCGAGCCAGAAACAGCAACAACTAACGATACAGCAACTAGGAACATTAACCATTATACCGATCAGGGCTGCAATCTCGAGATGCAGCTGCCAGACAGGAGCAAGGCAAGGGTAACGGGTAATAAGTAGTTGCTAAGCTGGATAGCTTAACAATGTAGTCATCGCACATAAGGCGCAAAACATTTAATGAGCCATAATTTGACTTGCATGCAAATGGAGTTGAAATTCAGTTATACCTTTCTATTCATACTTAATAAATGCTGCAGAATCGCAGATGAGACCTTAAAATTACTTTTTCAGAACTTAAATATAATTTCGTGACCTTTGGCCTCTAAGAATACGTCACTACGCTTATAACAGAAAGGTCTTCCTAACTAACTGGCCCACCAGCGGCCGAGCGGTAAAGTCGCTGAACACTGGTAGTTCGGTCCGAGGTTCGAATCCGCGACCGGTGGCTGCATGGGCGGTTTCGTGGTTTCCCCATGTTGTCGCGTGTACACGAGCCGTTTCCCTAGAAAGTCTCCACGAAGCATCCTCCCGGCGTGCCCTATGTGCTTTGCCGTAATTAAATAAACCAAACCAAACCAAACCTTCCTAACTAACTTGCGTACCTGAATCAAACTTTCGCCTCTCAGACATTACCCTAAAGTTGTCTTGCGAATTACTGCTTAAATAGTTTGTGAATATATGAACACACAAGCGCGTAAAATCTACCTTATCTTTACTACTTGTGAGATCTAAATAACAAAATTAATCTTTTTGACTTACCAGCAAATAACTGGATTGGATTCGATTGGATAAAGTACAAGTACTTGTATTCAAAGCTACAACATCCTTAGGTCGGACAACCTAATCTAAATCGAGACCAATTTACTAACCTGCAATAATGTGCTAACATTCTGCAAACTATCAGACTCAAGCAGAGGTTTTCTAATGAAAGGCAAACGTGACAACTGAAACATAGCCAAACGTCTGCCTACTACAAATCATTCGTCTTCTCAATTTAAGCTACGTCGTTTATCACTCCAATCTGCATAAGACTGAGAGAGTACGGAACGAAACGAAGCCTAAAGGAAAACTTCAAACCAAACTTTTAGTCTTTAGGTTAAACTTAAATGAAAAATAATAATCTTTTGTGCCTTCGTGGTGTAACGTTCACACACTCGGCGCGTATTCGAGAAATCCGAATCCTGGCGAGGGCATTGGATTTTTCTCATCTTCTGCTTCAAAATAACATAATGACTCTACAACCTTATTAAAGTGATGATTAATTTTATAAAAATATACAAAATGTACCAAAAAGATTGGTACAGACTTTATTTATTTAAATATTGATCTTCCACAGTAGCTCGAAGTAACTCGGAAAATAATTTGAAAAGAGTTTTAATGTGGAGGAGTGAGAAAAATTCCTATAAACGTAAAACCTTAGCACATTACATTCTCCTAAATTATATTTACTCAAATTTACTCTCTTATGACTGTTCTTCACACAAGAATAAAAGTGCTATAGAAAAATGTATTCTGTAAAGTGCAATACCGCTGTAGATTTTTTATTTTGGATTTGGATTACTTGGATTAAAGAACCCGAGAACTTTCTGCCTAAGAAGAGAAGTTCCTTTATGGAAGTTTTAAAGGAAGTTGGCTGATACTCACGTTATAATGAGGAAAACCAAGAAAACTCTTATGCAGTAAGTCAGGAATTAAACCTGCGTCGAACTGCCAGTGTTTAGCTATCTTACCGCTCGGCCACTTGCCGGTTGTTAAGCATTGGTCCCCAGTATTCAACGTTCAGTCCAGTAAGTAGTATTTTAAAACTGCCCAGTTAGCAGTAAGTCGTCCATTCAGGTAGTGTAGTTATATTTTATTGAGTTAAATGCGAGAATTATTTGTTTATTAATTAATTTTTGCTGGGATTAATTCTTCGCCCATATGGAAGCATATTGTTACGCCTCCTTTCATATTCTTTATTTATATTTGCATTAAAAATTTAATCTTCTATGGCGGCCCATCAGCGGCCGAGCGGTAACGTCTCTGAACACTGGTAGTTCGGTCCGAGGTTCGGATTCCGCGTACGGGCTGTTTGCATCGGCGTTTTCGTGGTATTCCCCATGGTAACGTCTGTATGAGCCATTTGCCTTAGAAAGTCCTCCGCGAAGGCATCCCTCCTCTAAGGGAGATAGCTCCGTGTGGTTTGCCGTAATCAAATAAATCAGACCAAACCAAACCAATGATCTCCCATCAACCTATAAAAGGTCTTATTTAAATGTTTTCACTTTATCTTTTAGTCTGCGTCTATAAACTGTAAAATATATACAGCATTTTTCTTGTATTCTTAATACAATACTTCTTGGCAAAAATATATTTATCTCCACGTTTTCGATTGCTAGCATTTTGTTGTTGTTTGCACTCTCTTTAGTTAATCAACCGTGACTGACCGCATTTAATGATTATTTTATCAATAAGGCAGCAGTCTTTAAAAAGATGACGATGATATTTGAAGCACCATAATAATGCATTGTTTGTATGTAACGTTTAACCCATAAAAAAATAAGAATACAAAGCCTCTGCAAGAAGGCTGTTTTTAATTTAAGATACTATTTAGTCTCGGGTCGTTGAATACTTAAGTGATTACACTTGACTGACTTTCAGTAGCTATTCAGTCTATTATCATATGGATAGTTTCTCTTCTAAGTGTAGCATCTTTGACATTTTCATCAGAGACAAGTATTTACCAAAAATTACTGGTTCAAAAATGTGCGAATAATGTCAGGTAAGACTTGTTCTTGTTTGTTTTTGTTGTCAAATTCTTAACACGTGGAGCTTAAGAGTAGAAGCATATAATCGTCAGATATATTCATTTGAAAAATTAGCATTAGTTGCTGTGTAAATGAATAGTAAATATCGGTGAAATTCACTTACACACTAGTTTAGAGTGATATGAATTTCTTAATGACGTGAAACAAGTTTTATTGTGGCAATCTGTTAGAACGACTCAAATAGCATTCTCGGAGCAGAGAATATACGTATATCGAGTCAGTCCATGCATTAAGAGTATGCGTGGAATTCGCTATGACGTATTTAATAAAACAATACAATTTTGAACCTGTTAAAACTTGTCATCGTTTGACTAACATATTATCCAGTTCATCACCATTTTTCGGAAATATCGAATTCATTTTAGTACCCATAGAAGATGAATATAGATAATCAGTACAAACGTGCCGTGCTACATTTTTTATTTTCGTCTGGTGAATCTGCCAGGTTTGCAGCGATAAAAAGTAATAGTGTACATAGTGAACACACTATTAGTGTAAAGACTGCCCAGAAAGGATTTTAAAAATTTAAAGTTGGAAAAGCAGCATTGATGATGAACCCCGTTCAGGACTTTTTGAACTGTTAGAACCAAACCAAACGATTAATTCAGAAGTTTATAGTGAACAACTTTGCCGTCTAAACTCAGAATTCATCAAAAAACGCGCACGATTGTTGAATATCAAGGAAGTGTTGTTTCACCATGATAACGCTAGACGCATACGTTCGAACAACGCTGCAAAAAATTAGTGAATTTAATTGGGAGCTTTTGCAATCCTGCTTACTTTCCGGTATTGCCCCGTGATTTCACTTATTTCGTGCCTTACAAAATTTTTTACTGGGAAAAAAATTAAATTCTAAACAGGATGTACACTATGAACTTTTAAGTTTAACAAGAGTCTTTCTACAGCAGTGGCATAAAAAAGCTGCCTGTACGATGGCGAGACATTGTAGATAAAGGAGGAAAATATATAATTGATTAAAATGTTAAATTGTGTTTTTTTATATTATTTAACAATTTACCAAAAAGTGCGCACGAATTTATGGACTGACCCAATATATGCTGTAACTAGAGACTAGAATTGGATTGGGGGATTTACATATTACAGACTTACGTATTACTAAAATTACGTATTAAAAACATTTCTATTTATTGGATTAACAAATTAGAATTTCCTTACAAGAGATCAACCGGAAGTATTTTATTTAAAGCTAGTTTCAATTTAAAATGTAGAATTGACGGAATTTCATGTGCTGGCCACATTAGTTGTTTTTTACGTACATTTCAACAGTGCCGTCTTAATTGCATCTCCTGAACTTCTGATAATCTCTGATTCTTTCATTTTTTAGAAAGTATTGAAATTGTTCGCCTTGATCGTGCGTGTGCTAGCGCAAATGATTTCCTAGCGCAGGGCTCCTGCAAAATTTTTAACGATGTACCAAACAAGGGGGACGAAAATTGTCATTTATACACAGGAGGGCCTTACATTTATTCTCACGATGTTATCGGATCGGATTCAAGGGATATTTTTTTCCTCTGTTTCATACTGTTTAACGTCTAGAATTATATCGGCAGGGCATCGTGGTAAGAAAGTACTGGACTCGTCTCTCTTTTTTTCCGAAGCTGCATATCTCCTTTAAAATTTCTTCCATACTCTCATACTGTTTCTAACTTCATACTGTTTCTTCATTAGTGTGCTTGTAAAGGAATGGATTTTGTATATCATCCTTGGAAATAGTAAATTATACCTTACATTCAGGCCTGAAATTCAGTCGGAGGTCAGCGAAGCTATTTCTTGGTTTTTGAGTGAAATTGTAATTCCAGCCGGAGCCTCAAATAAGACGAGGTCCAATATTTTATTTTTTGTTTAACCATTTATCATTAATTTAACAGTTTGTTGAATTTTTATTTGACTCCGTATATTTAGTTTGTTAATTTTTTTATTTGGCCATTATATTTAATTTAATTTTTGCATTAATAATTAATTTGAATAATTATTTTAAGATTAATTATTTTATTAGTTACTTTATTTATTTATTTATTCCCTCCTTTATGCCGGCCGGCCTTTTATAGGACTTCCGCTTTTCGAACTTTAGAAAATAAGATGTGCTTTTGTTCCAACTGGAAAACTCTTACATTTTTCACTTCAGTCATAATCACATTTTCTCAATAGATGGCAGCACCAACATACCATGTCGTGACAAACTCAAAATTCAGCAAATTTTGAAATAAAATGTGTATTATACGTAATATCAAATGTGAAATATTTAATATATCTTTCGTATTTGCACACTGTTTTGGTGTTGTTATAATAAGAATACTTTTTTATTTTTCAGTTATGCGCCAATAACCTAGCCAGTCCTGAACAAGCAGATCCGCACTATAAAGCTGTCTGTCGGGCATTAGTAGCAGAAGTTCTGGAGTTAACTACTTTCCTTGAAAATATATACAACAGAACACAGGTATTTTGTTTAACTATTCATGAGCGCCTACTTTGATTAAAAAAAATAATAATTTCTTTCAAAATTCCACAAGATTATATGAATATTGTGCTTAAATATCATTTAAGCACATTTAGTGTCTGGTGATGATTCGAATCAAGCCCGGTTCCAGCAGTTTATGAGTCCTAGATTATCAGTGCAATTTTTATCCCTTATATATTAAAATATTAATGATTCAAAGCATTCATTTAATTGGACATATTAATTTCGCACTTTGGGAATTTAATTGGTCTCTGAGAACAGCTTAGTTGGCGCCCAAGGGGGCTGCTCACGTCGCCTATGTTTGAAACTGGCTCTGATTCTAATGTTATCATGGAGACTTGTTAGCTGTGTGCGTATACTGATTGTATGCGTATAATGTTAAATAGAATTTTTAATTTAATGCGATTTTAGATGAAAATTTTCTCTTTTCACGTGATTTTAAATTTAAATGAACCTACTTCCAAACCAGTTTTTTTAAATGCATTCATCTGAACTTTTTAATTCTTAAATATTTCCATTTAAAATAATTTTTAGAATTTTCATCTATAATAAGAAGTCAAAATTTGTGAATTTATTTTGACTTTTTTTAAACTACACATATTGATTCCTGAAATAAAAGCTACATTAACATAACTAGCTTACAATTAAAATTAATAGCTCTCCTGTTTTTTTTAATCAAAATTTGCTTTAATGTAATATAGTTTAGGAGTATTTAGAAAAACAAATTTAATACAATGATGGATGGAAAAATTTGATAATATTGTGGCGGCCACGTGGCTGTAGTGATTTATTGCCCGCTAGTGTGCCATGCTGTCGGTGCTTTTAACGGAGGCTTACTCATAGCGACAACTATGGGTCGAATCAGAACTGCGATACGAAAAGTCGCCTGGCCTCGAGAACAGAACTTGAGCCCCTGACATGGGAGAGAAATCCTCCACCGCTAGGGCAAAAGAGCTGTTGTGCTCTAGATTCAAGACTTCTGACTCTCAAATTTGCGAAAGTTGAGTGACTCCGCGGCCACCGTAAAATAAAAATAATATTAAAAAAATATGCAAAATCTGTATTAGGAATGATGGAAAAAAATTATAAATTGGTAATGAATTGACTTTAACTAGAAATCATATACGTAAATCATACTTTTTGTACAGCGATTGAATGCGTAAATTCGGGGAATTATTTTCTGTGTCTGAAATAAAATGTCTTATTATTTTATTATGTCTATGCATTATCCATGAGTATGTCTATGCGTATTTATACACCTTTCTAAAATAAAAAAATATTTTTAGATGTTTATTAGTCTTATTATTTTTTCTGGGTTTCCGCTTTTTGAATAAGTTCTTCTGTTTTTAAATATTCAACCACTGCTCAATGGCTTTTTCGAAAAACTATCAGCTGTATAAAAGCAGAATTGAATGTGTATCTATGAATGTATATGTATATAAAGTAAATAACATTTACTATAAAATGGTACAAAATATACCGCTAATCCTCCGCAAAACAATCAGTCACGGTTCCAGATAATTTCGGTCTTCTATGGAAGACTTCGTTTTAGTGAAGATGAGCTTGTTCATAGCGATTGTTATTTTGCATAATGCATTGAGTCTTATTGAGACCCTTGAAGTTTGTTGAATAAAAGTACTACGAGGCGTATTCGGAAACTAAGTACCGTTTTGGAGAAAAAAAAAAATAGTAACACTATTTTTTCGAATCCAATTTTATTTTTACATGAAAATACATGTCTTAAACTATTTTTTAACATAGTTTCCGCCAATGATCAAACACTTGTCATAGCGGGTGATCAGTTTTTGTATACTATCGTCAAAGAAACTTCACGCCAGTTTCGATAACCACGACTTCACAGCATTTTTCGTGTCATCGTCAGATCCAAAGCGCTTGCCACCAAGCTCGCGCTTCATGTGCAGGAACAAATGATAGTCGGACGACGCCAAGTCCGGGCTGTACGGCGGGTGATCGAACTGCTCCCAATGAAACTGTCGAATTAACGATTGAGTGACACCAGCAGTATGGGGCCGAGCATTACCATGGAGCAACGCGATTCCTTTACTGAGCATTCCTCTTTGTTTGTTTTGAATGGAACGCCTTAGTTTTGTTAAAGTCTCACAATATCGTGCCGCATTAATGGTTTCACCTCTGGGAAGAAATTCAGTAAGCAAAACGCCTTTCCTATCCCAGAAGACAGTGCACATGATTTTTTGTGATGATATTGTCACTTTGAACTTTTGTTTTTTCGGAGAATGAGTGTGTCTCCACTCCATCGATTGTTGTTTCGATTCTGGTGTGAAATGACACACCCAAGTTTCATCACCTGTTACAATTTGGTTTAAAAAGTTTTCTCCCTCATCACTGTACCGCGTGAGAAATGTCAGGGCACTACCAAGTCGCTTTGTTTTGTGAACATCAGTGAGTATTTTTGGAACCCATCGGGAACACAGTTTGCGCTAATTCAAGCGGTCACACATAATTTCGAACAAAACAGTGCGTGAAATTTGTGGAAATGCCTCTGAAAGAGTTGTCATTGTGAAGCGTCTGTTCTCATGAATTGTTTCATCAACTTTCCGTACCAAATCATCGGTGACAACAGAAGGCCGACCACTCCGAGCCTCGGCGTGGACATTTGTTCGACCTGCATTAAACATTCTTACCCACTTTCTCACCATTCCATCACTTATCGCGTATTCACCGTAAACTTCTGTCACTTGACGACGGATCTTCGAGATAGTGGAGGACGTGGGACATATGCCTGTTTACCTATGTTATACGCCAGGCGTCCCCGTCCTCCGTCACCTGTCACCTGTCACTTGACGATAAATTTCGGCCGGTTTAACATTCCTCGCTTTCAAAAATTTAATCACGGCACGAATCTCACAGTCAGCGGGAGAACTAATTGTCTTAAACATTTTGAATGTGCACAGCAAACTGAAAACACAACATAGAGCAATCAAAATGGCGACAATTGAAAGTCAGTGAACAAGAAAGACTAGTTAGTGCTCATGCGCGAGACGCCTACCACAGCGCTGCGACGGCGCTAGAATGAAACGGTACTTAGTTTCCGAATACGCTACGTAATTAGAATAAAATGCTAAAATAAATGTACTAATTAGAATAAAATGCTAAAATAAAAGTACTAGTACTAATTAGGGTTTTTTTTAATAATTAATAGGCCTATATATTTCCCTAATAATAGATAATAAGACTACATATTGCTGTTATTACATTAATAACAAATCAATAGTCTTCACTTTAAATCTTACTTTTAATAATTCAATAATAACATTACGAGTTAATTCCGAAGATAGCAGCAAATAATGTTGGAAAAACAAAGCTAAAAAGCAAATTTATCAGTAGTTGAAATACTGTAAATGAATATTTTTAAATACGGGCGGGGGAGATCATGATATGCTTATATTTTAAAAAAATTAGGGAAGCCTTACATTTTATATTTTGCTTAGTAATTTTAGGAACACCCATTGCTTATTTAAAATATTCATTAAAGTGTAGGAGATTTTCGATTTGGTTAATTACTTTTTCTTAAACAATTTAAACTTCGTGCAGAAAATTCTTACTCGCAACATTTACCATAATTTCCTGTGCCAGAAGCATTTCTGATTATCTTTAATCTTGTTTTTAAATTTAATGCTTTTTTTCACACATTTTAATCTAGGGTTAGTCGTTTAAGAACATAAACCTTATTAATCTAAATTTAATCTCTCAAGATTTGTAATGCTTAAAGCAAAAAAACTCATTCATGCACTGAGTTATCAACTTCCAAATAAACGCAACCAAATGCAAACACATGAAAAATAATTAATCGAGCCCTTTAAACATCGACTTATTGGCTATGCAAACAAGAAATGAAAAGAATTAATGTAAACATTTAGGAATGATGTGAATATTTTAAAGAATATGGTATCATAATTGCCGAATCAGCTTCATATGATAAATTAAATCACACTGAGAAAAAATTAAATGCAGAAAGCTTTAACTATAGTTTTCAATAAAAAAAATTATGATTTTGCTTTTATAGTAAGAACTGTAATTGCAATAGTGTGATTTGCATAGCACATAAAGTTTTTTAGTCTGAAAGAAAAATTAAACATTTTAGTGGCTACTGTAATATATATTTGATGGTTTTAATAGTCGGAGAGGTCATCTTACAGACTAATATTTTAACAGCGAATACGGATATTTGTGTTCTCATAAATGCTTATAATTTTCGAAGGTCAAAGGTAGTCATCTGAAAGAAATAGTAACCACAAGAGGGTTCCGTATAGTGAAATTAAACGAAACATAATTTCAAAGTGTTTTATTCAAAAATTAGCAAAATATTTTTGCAGTGTGTTCTATACTTTTATCTGAGACGAATTTCATACATTTTTCTTATCAAGATTTAGAAAGAATACAGAGAATTAAATTTAGACTTCAACTAAACATGTTTCATGCGGTTTAGATAATTAGTAAATACAAATAAACATATATGATATAAAATTGTATGGTTTCTGCCTCATGGTCAAAAATATTTCGGCCAAAAATAAGTAAATAAATAAATGGTATTTTCACAATTCTAGTCATATCACTTTTTCTTAATTGCTAATAACTGCAATTATCTGTTCCCCCCCCATTGCTAGAAAGAGCGTATATTTCTTTTTTTTTTTTTTTTTTTTTTTTTTTCTTTTTTTTTCAGATATTACAGTTTTCCGATGCAGATGAAACAGACAGCCGGACTTTAGAAAAGTTAAAAATTCAGGACTGGGTATGTATACGTTTCGTATACATTCTCTCATATCAAATTGGTAATTCAATAACATGTTGTTAAACCAACTAGCAATATAGAACAAAAACCGTCTTAATGTGATGAAAGTAGCTTTCATGTTATTAGTTCTTCGGCACGTTCTTTTCATTTCTTCACATGTTGCTTAATTTACCATGTTAAATCTGCAGATGTTCTTTACTTATGAGCAGATTAGGTTCCAGGCAGTTTGTCTGAAGTCAGAAATGTTCACTAAGTGCATTGCTTCCTTAATATGACATGCGGAATATTGTGCACAGTACCATAAAATGGTTTGTATTGAACCCCTGCCTACCTGTATTAAACAGTATATTTTTCCAGCAGTAAATAGCAGTTTAACTTAAAAATACGAGGAGAAGTCAATAAGCAAGTCACACATTCACATCATATATTTGAAAATAACAATGAGTTCTCTCCATGTATGCTAGTAGGTACTAGAATTGTCCTAGTTCATGATCTTCATTTCGTTAATTATTAAGTATCGACTGCACGTGCTTAGTGCATTTTGAAAATGCCAATGGAACTCCATAGTTCGATAGAAATACGTAACATGCTGTTATTCGTGTGTGTGTTTTCTTTTTTCATAGTTGTTGTTGTTTTGGAGAGAGGGCAAACGGACTTCGTACGAAAATATTCATAAAGGAATATTTTCTGTTTTATGAAAAGTCGTGAAATGAATTCATGAAAATTATTTATTCCTGTTTTAATGAAATGTTTTATGGACATGTAAAGCCGTGGGTTAAAAAGCCGCTTTGCAAATGACAATGGTGTTCACAAGGAAATCTTAATGTGGCTGAGGCAGCAAAGAATATCAGCAGCTGGTATAGGAACATTGATAAAAAGATGGGAAACGTGTATAAATGATTATAAAGATTATGTTGAGAAATAAATGGCTTTCAGGTGCGTATCTTGCTAAATTATTTTGTAATTGCCTTTCTATGATGATTTACGTATGACTTTGACTCGTTAATAATGGTAATCGCCATCGTAATCGTTATGGGAAGGATAGCAATGAGGGTGCAACTGGAAGATTAGCAGTTCATGGAGTATGAACAGAGAATATTCAAGTACTCTACTGATAATGTAGATGAGAGTAAATCCAATTTTTGCTGTTAATTATTGAGTGTTATCCAGATTTCTTGAAATATTGAAGGACTTATGTCTACACATTTATTTTTTCTTAATTTCATTAATGTTCACACAGCAAACAAGAGTTTCATGAGCGAGTACCATATATCTATCTTTGGCTTCAGGAAAGTTTGTTCCTAAATTTTAAAACTTGTAAATTAAAAGCGCGTAAGTAACGAAATACTTGAACAAAATTAAAAATATAATTAAGTAGCTTTGAGATAATTTACTTTTAATTTTGCTAGAAACTCTTCAGAAGAAACGCGAGTAGCATGCAACTGACACCATTTATATTCTTTTTAGTGGTATATATATTTAACTTCATGACTATATAATGACTTTTTCAAAGATCTGGCGTTTCTAAAAGGGCTGAGAGCAGTGAATTCGCTCTAAAGATAGTAATCTAAATTTATTGAAAATTTTGATTCCTTATTAATACTTACAGAAATGTTGCTTTAAAACTGCTTACAATTTTCTAATATGTGATAACTCATTTATTTTAATAATCTTGCGTCATAGTCATTTTTAAAACAATACGTTGCATAATAAAAGTAAAATATTATTTGTTTTTATTTCTTATTATAAATAGGTGTGTTGAGGGTACCTCCAGTTTTTCCCCCCAACTTCCTCGATGTAGTATGCCCCTCACATCAGGTAGCTTAAAAGTCAAACTAAAACTGCTCTAATTGCTTTGTAAGGTGTACATTAATTTTATAACAGTTATTTTTAATTTTGAAACCCTTTCAATTCTTGTTTCCCACTTAAAACTCCCTACAAGAATGAGTTTTTAGTATCGCGTTGAATGCAAATGAGTTAGAAGTAGTATTTAAAGGGAAGTTCAACTTACTTCAAAAGAGACTGCTTAGGAATCCTTATTGGCGCGAGTTTGCCTTCTGGCTACTTCGTCCTTGAATCTATTACGCTCGGCCGTATTGTACGTGCCTGTTGATAGTCGCCGGCTAGTTTAAATTAAGGGCCAACTACGTTAGACATTTGTGTCTAGCTTCGACTAAGTCTGTTTTAGTTAGTATTAGATTATATTCTCATTTTCTTATCCTGATTTAAAAGCCCGGTGGAGACTTTCTTGGAAGCCCGAGAAGGGTCCCTCTGTTATTATTTCTTTGAGTGAATAAAAGGGTATTTTAACCCTTCGCGAGTCTACGTTGTAAGTACTTGAACTCAGAGATAAGTCGCTACTTAGTTCACCAGGTTCCTCGACATTTTAGACACAGTAATGATGGACATCACAGCTTTATAACATTCTGGAGATTAGATTTATGAACGTGACATACAAATTCATTTGTAAACGTGTTTGTGTGACCTAGATTGCTTGTGTTTTCAAATGGGAAAAATATCTACATAGGTATTGCTTTTCCTCCTAATAATTGTAATTTTTCATATGACTGCATGACAATAAAATAAAAAATGTAAGAAAATTTGCAAAATTTTGCTATTAGCGACTATAATGGCTTGCTTATTTTCGTAATCTCTGAGGGTAATTTATATTAATCTTGTAAGGGAAATACTATTTTCCTTTTTAATTTTTTTATTTCCATGCGTTTTTATAGTATATTTATATATATTTTTAATTTTTACATTAAGTAATCAAAAATGATTTTCACTATAGGCAAGACTTTGGATGCAAGTTATACATCAACTTAGGCAAGGAGTTAAGTTAAAGAAGGTAGATACAGCACAAATACATCATCCCATTGAATATGAACTTACTCCTTATGAAATGCTCCTCGATGATATACGGTCACGTCGGTATAAGCTTAGACAAGTTATGGTAAGTCAGTTCCTTGCTATTTAAGGTAATTGATTTTAATTTGCAAATTAACATATAAGGTATTCAAAAACGGTTATTAGGATCTTTAAATATTGATTCTAGATGTGCACTCGCCATTACAAAACTTAAAATAAGCTGCTGAATTTTATGGAAATAATCTCAGTGCTGTGAATGAGGAGATTCTCAGCAAAAATGAAATCACACTTTTTGTATGATTTCCATGAAACGAAATTTGAAACTAATAAAATACTTATAATGCTTTAATTAGTTAAAAACGTAAAATTTCAATGTTTTTAATTCATAATTTGCAGAAATATTCTAGGATGAATTTCATGACTTATATCAGTTTTCTATGCCTATCGCCAAATTCAGTTCAGTGCCAGGGAAGGAAATAAAAGTTATCGACGCACCTGAAAATCCGTGTCATCGTAAAACAGTAGAGACTGAAGACATAAAGATGCTAATCTTGTTGACGAGTTAGATGGTGACAACAACACCACTTCACCTGACGAATGAAATAGTCTATAAAACATTGCGAACCCCGGTGTTAATTTTGAGTATTGTTAGTGTAGATGACAATGTTGCCCTGTGTGCTGCAACGGAATCTGATGTACAAGCAATTGTGTCTGAGGTGCAAGAAATGTCTTCAGAAGAAAGTGAGGAGGACAATATCATTCCGCTCACCTGCCAGGAAATATTACACGCCTTGAACATTGCAGAACGTTTTGCTGCAATGTAACATCCGCATTGACCACTAGTTTTACAGAAGCCATCAGCACAGTTGGTCGTGAAGTTACCAGGCAGTTTCATTCCCGTCTGCGACAGAGCAATATACAGAAATTTTTCACAAAACAATTATCTATGAGTGTATTTAGTCAAGTTACAGTACAGGAATTAATATAGTTCTTTGTGTTATCTATGACGACATGCATAGTATATTGTAGTACTTACATAACTATTACTGTAAATGATTAATGTGCGGAAAAAATTACTCCAAAAATAAAATTTGAGTCTCCAGTTAACACGAATTTTTTTAGCACGAACTCCTTTCCTTGATCTTCAGCGACCAAAACAAAATAGGCTCGACTGCAGTTCAGATAGAAAGCGAATTGGTTGGATGCTAAGCGAGAACAAGATAAAAAGATTTTATCTTCATTCTCAAATGCCATACTTTTGGTGTGCCTTCTCTTAAGCTTCACCGACGCAATCTGTAAAAGTCAATGACTTCTAAATTGCAATAAGTGACAAATAGGAATACTTAACCAAGAATTAGTGATGAACGGGTGGAATATTTCAACTTTGGCAACTCCTAGATTTTGGCATAGACGCTAGTAGACCAAACATGCGTTTGCTATTCAATACAATGCATCATTCACAGCTCTCACTGCGAGTGAATCAAATGTTTCTTTTCATATTACTATGAATATGCCCATGAAAAGGTAATTGATTTCAGATTTTACTATTTTAGACAGTTAATTGATGATATTTTAGCGTGTTCTGTCTATAATGTATAGCCAACTTTGAATGGATCTTTTGATGTTAATCATATCTAAAGTAAAGCCATAGTCAAATGAATTAGTATATTTTTTTAATTATCTAATAGGCAATAATGCGAACAAAAGTGCTAAAGAGTAATATGTGTTTCTAATTTTAAGTTCGATGAAGTCTTTCATTCTTAAATATGTTCTTAATAAATTCCTTCGATGAATTGACTTTATATTTGTATGAAAAGATTAGTTAAAAAATTTAGCTATGTATTAAAAAGTCTACATCCATCCAATGTCATCACTAAGTTAAGCTTAAATTAGCCTTTGATTTGTAATATTTGATTCTTCATAGAAATGGTCTGTTTCAATAATCATTCAGTTGCTTCTCATTATTAACGTAGCAAACTGGAAGATATTAATCATTTATAATTCCGTTTTAATTAAAAATAAACTTTATACTTACTTTTTGGTAATTAAGTATTAAATTGTTGACACCACGCCAAAGCTATAAATTCGCAAAATGGTTGATTCGAAAAGAAGCGTTTAACGATGATGGTAAACAGGAGCTGTTCCTATCCCGAAGAGTTCTACTTCAGCCCTAGGTACAATAAGAAAATTGTGGCAATGGTATCTTGACGGTGTTAGGCACTTAAAATCTGAAAGTCTTTATTGTAAATTGATGGTGAAGAGAGAAGATGATAGATCTTTTCACCCAGGATGATAGTGTTCAGGAACCATTTAATGTACTCTGTGATCCGAGGCAAAGCATTCCTTCAGAAGCCCACACTACCCTTTTTTAATGAAGGAAAAACAGTCGTCTAGCAAGAACATAATATATAATTACTCTGCTACCTAAGAGTTGTGCCCACCTTTGGCTGAGTAGACATAATTCGAATCCCGGTGAAAGAAGAAGGCTTTGCCATAATTGATTAAACAGACATAAGAGTGATAAGATGATTTTTTTTTAACTGTGCCATTTTAAAAGTAATGGTAGATGCCTTTGCAAATACCCAGATAATTGTGTTCACAATGTGTTAAATTTAAGACATTTTGTCTTTAATTTTCTTATTTTTTAATTTCAGGTGAATGGTGACATTCCATCAAGAGTCAAAAAAGATGCACATGCTCTTATCCTTGAGTTCATTCGTTCTAGGCCACCTTTAGTTCCAGTATGTCTCTCTCTTTTAATTCATGCTAAAAATTTTACTTATATTAAACCAATAGATAATTATTTATAAATTTATATTTAATTGAATAAGTAAAATTCGTATTTTAATCTAATTCATGAAAAACATTCGTTAATAATTAAAATAAGGGATTTATCAGCGTGTGTAATCTGTTTTTTTTTTTTTTTTTTTTTTTTTTTTTTTTTTTTTTAAGGGGAAGAGGGTAAAATGACAAGGCATAAATTTTTAACTTATCAAAGTGATAAACAAAATATTCATCGCATGGTCCTGAAAATGAAATTATTCTTATTCTCGCAAATAGCAGATACGACAATTCTAGTAACCTAGACTTAACAAATTACGACCGTGACTAATCGAGTGCATGATCGTGCTGAAATTAAGTTTTCAGTGCCTTTCCTTCCGTCTAAGAAATCCTCGGTAAATTCTAAAGGCAGATATTTAACTTATCTTATAAGGATTCTTTTCTTCCCGATCACAGTTTGCTGAGCAAATGTAACGTTACTCTGTCGAGTTTTACGGAATAAAGGGTGGGTTTTTTAGAACTTTTTAATATTTAAACGTTTGATGCGCGCGATATTATTTTTATAATTTTTTTAACTAAAAAACTCTAGAAATTGAATATTATGATTCTAGAAACAAATAATATGTGATTCTTTTCTTTTCGAACGACATTTTCACTTCATAGAATATCAAAAGTTCCCAAAAATATGTAACACTTATACGCATGGATGTGAACTGAGGAACGATACCCGCAATGAACTAGTGCGAGTCTAGTTTGCAATAAGATGTAATCACAAAACTTCAGACAAGTCTCCTAACGTTTCGCAACAATAGAAAGGAACGTGAACCAACAGCCAGCCGCTACCTGACTTTCTTCCTATCCTGGAAAGAATCAAACAGCGTTGCCAAGTATTACAACATATCTTGAAATTTGTTACGCAGTTACAAGAAATAAAATGCGAAAACAGTAGAAATTACAGAAAAAGAACACTCACATTTTTTAACAAAACAGGGAAGACGTACGCATAAGTAATAATTATATGTACTCTATGTAATATTTGCTCTGTTTGGCCAAGAGATATCTTAAAAAGTTCCTAAACAGTTGTCGAGTTATACGCAATGTCGAGATATCGGAAGTCGAGTTTGCTACTGTATCGATTTTAGTCAACTAAAATAGTCAACTCTACTGTATCAATTTTAGTCAACTATACTATATGAAGTTAGGAAAAATGAAACCTTAGTTTGACGTAGATTTTCAACAACTCTATTCATTTTGAGGAGATCAGACACAGGTCCCTCTTCTTCAAAAGGAAAAAAAAAAGAAAAGAAAAGAAAGCTGAGAAGTTCTTTTAAGATGAAGGATGCCTTCCGTGTATTATGATTAACGGTACAGCATCGATGAAATAATTTCCAGAAACGTTTTATATTTCTATGTTCATAAACAAAATTTTACATTTTCCTAGTTAAAATGCTGTTAAAGTCTCTGTTTTTATATTTCTAGTTATATTTATATTAAATTAATTAAATTACGTTGCTATTTTTAGGGATATTTGTTTACAACATGACATTTTTAGGAAATCTTAGGCAAATCTAGAGTAAATCATTCTTAGGAAACTGATATTTTGCATTATTTCATTAGCTAGCTTATATTATTTTCACTTTAACGTGCAATATGATAAAATGCTGTTGAAGCCGAATGTTTTGTGAAAAAATTATTAACTATAATTTTGCAGTTTTACATAGCTACTTAATGGATACCTTCTTTCCTTAGTAAATATTTTTATTCTAATTTAATATTCAGCTGTCTTTCACTTTTCTGAAATTGTATATTGTTTATTAAAGCAACAATTTGTGTTTATAACTTTTATGAAATAATTAAATTCACCCCCCTCCATTCTTACGAAATATTGAAACATTTCTAGGAATTTCAGGTGAAAAGAAATTATTGTTATAATTACAAGAAAAATAAGATTTCAAATGATAATTTCATTTCTATCTTAAAATTAATAATTCTTTATATAAATTCATAGTACTGTGTATGTACGTTACTCTTACAAATACTAGGATATTACCCTAATTTCGATAAATTTATATATATATATTCTTTGGTATTTACCTAAATTTTTCAGGCATTTTTTGTTGAAAATTTTAAAAATCATCTGTATGATTTTTGTTTGTGCAAAATATTTTATATAAAAATTCTCATACAAAATACTTATTAATAGTTGTCATTTATAAACATTTATTCAGAAATGCATTGATGGTATTTACCTATCTCAAATTTCTTTGCTGCCTTTAAACCAATTCTCCAGTTAAATTTGTTTTCATTTCAGTATTTTGAATTTCATTTTGTTGTCTGTATATTGTACACATTTTAATCCAAAATTGGATTTAATTAATTTGTCATTTCCAGTTACTTTTTTTAACAAAAGCTGTTAAATAACAAGAAATTTTCAGTGTGGTATTTAATATTTATCTATCAGTAACAACTAAAATTACATACGTGTGTTACGTATATGTCTACAATTGTTAATTAAAATTCCGTTGTGTGGAATATATACTATTATTTATATATAATTCTTTAAAATTTCTGCATATGTATCTAAAATAATGTTTATGTTTATTTTTTAAGGTATCAAAACGTAAATTACCTCCTACTCCACCAAGGCAGCTGACATTATATGAAAAACTGATGGCTTCAATTAAAAAACAGCATAAGTTAAAACCAACGAAGCCTCCAAATGGGGATAGTAATAAAAGAAAAAGTATGTGTATCCTTTCTATAACTATACGCTTTGTATTAAAATTTTGGAAACATTAATTGTTTAATTTTTGAATATCATTTTTCGCTAGCTATTATTTATTTTCAATATGTATGGCCCAGAAGGTTTATTGATAGCAGTTAATTTGATAAAATCTTTAATTTGATACTTTGATAAAATATTTAAATTGATACTTCATTCATTTCCTTAAACTCTTGTGCCATGAATTGGAATTACAGTATTTTGAGAATTAAGTATCTGAAATTTACCGAGTAGCGTTTTAAGTATCTGAAATTTTTAATAATCCTAAGGTTTCTTTATGTCTAACGAATTTAAAATATTTACAAGAAAACGTTAATCATATTTAGAAAACAATCCTTGAAATGAAAATAAAGTTGTGCCATCATCGTTGCACTGTCGTTCTTTGAAGACGCATCAAGGACTTCCTTGTAAGCGTCATCAAAATCGCTTTTCGACATGAGATGTTCAACATTGCTTTCAAACATCAAATGATTGAACTGCATCTCAAAACATGTACCTTTTTGTTCAGATTTTGTTATCGAATAAAGGAAGTCATATGAAACTGCAAATACGTGATCTTGCATTATCTTGATTAAACATCTTCACACATTTAAGAGGATAAAATTGCTGAACGTTAATATTTCGACCTGGGGTCGAATCCCGAATAATTAGCTGGCCACATGGTTGGTTTTCATGATTTTTCCCGTGTGTAACGTAAATACGAGCAAGTTTCCCTTAAAAAATCCTCCACTAAAGCATCTCTCCCCATAGGGGGCAGACAGCGCTTGTTTTGCCTTAATCAATTTACCTAACCTGTACTGAAGGTTGCTGTTTTGGAATATGATTCTTCATGAGTGTTTATAATACCAATGTATATAATGTCTTCCATTAAAGAAATAAAAACAACACCACAATAACTACTTACTTCATAATACGCTTACACAATTTTAATTTTGCAACAAGAATTATGTGGCATTATAATAATCTTTTATGTGTTGTTTGAAGTATGACTATAAGTTTCAGTTACTGTTTTGGCGAGATGAAAGCCAAATCGAATAGCATTATAATGGTCATATATATCCGAATTTTCCAAAGCAAGCTTAGTAATAAGATACAAACGCGTTATGTCATTATTATGCAATATTATGCACCAAACAGCAAAACCTAAAGGAGCAGCTGTTGAAAATAACAACTTGGCAAATTCTTTCATCCCGAGTTTGCTCTTTCTCTGAATGTGAATGCGCCTTATTGCGTCACAGCACCAACTGTATTATTTATATTTCTTTTCTGATTTTTAATAAATTTCTACGCAAATGCTGCGTTTATCTGGTGCATGTAAAGTTTTCAATTTAAATAAATTTTCTTCATATATTGCGCTTATCTAATTTAATTTTTTATGCATATATTCTGAAAATATTAGAAAATGTATAAAAACCGTGCAAATCCTTTCAAATATCAAAATAATAATAGGCTAAAGAATTTTTTCACTAGTGAAAATCAATGAAGATCTCTTTTTTTGTATGATCTCATGGCATTATTTATGTTTCATGTTAAATGCTGTTCCTGAAACACGAGTTAGCAGTTACTTAGGAAAATGGGCATTATTTATGTTTCATGTTAAATGTTCTTCCTGAAGCACGAGTTAGCGGTTACTTAGAAAAGCTTTCAGAATCCATCTTGCACAACTGCCATAAAAAATTTAAGTGCATGAGTTTATTTGAAAACTGGGCATCCTATTTAATTTATGTATTTTTTTCCATCAAGTATCATGTAAATCTATATTTCATCTCCTAAATCTTTAGTTGAGACATCTCGAACAAAGCTAGAAGAATCAGACGAAACACCACAAACTCAAAGACGACTGATCAAAGCAGACATAAATTTAGGATTTTTTTCCAGTTGCGAGGTAAGATAGTTAAAGTAAAATTTCTCTTAAACCTTAAACATTTTATCTTTGAAGTTACCTTACCTTTTTAGTATCTTTATGCAAACTCTGATTTACTGCTATGTAAATATGCTAAGCTTTTCTGAATAAAATGTTATGTATTTATGATTATAGGACATAGATGATTTACCTCAAAGTCCTTTAGATGAACCTCAGTCATTACCGTTTGAAAACAGGAACAATCCTGATTCTTCTCTTGAGAGGAGTAGTAGTCAAACAGGTAAAATATCTTGTTAAATTACTGAGATTTTACATCCATATTACTGTGCAAGAAACTTTCGTTGTATCTTATGTGTATGTTTTTATCATTTTCCCATTAAATAATCAGCGAATTTCTCTAGTGCAACCACCTACAGTTTGAGAACAATTCTGCTTTTTCGGAAAGGTGGTCGTCTTAGAGAAAATGACTGTGGGTGGTTAGCGATAATCAATTGCGTAATGAATTTACTTTATAGGAGTTTGTTAAAAAAAAAAAACTCTCTTGTGGTCTATTAAACAAAAACATAGAAGTAGAACTACGGTATATTGGTTTACTAACAATAAATTACTATTTATTAATAAATAAATTATTAATAAAACTACGAATCAAACACAAAAAATAGCCGTGTGAAAAACACAATATGTTTACGAATAGTTAAAATATAAAATTCAGAACATATTCATAAAAAGGGGCTCTACAAAGTTGTTAAAGGCGTTTTTGGCTTCGTTTTGGTTTCTAAAGCATTTCTTCTGCAGAACGTTATCCAGATGTTTGAAAAAGTGGTAATTGGTCGGCGAGACGTCAGGCGATTATGGGGGATGAGGGAGTGTCTCTTATCCCAATTCGTTTAATTTCTGGTGGGTCAGTAGCACGACGTGTGGCTGAGCATCGTCGTGGAGAAGAACTGGCCCCTTTCTGTTGACCAATGCCGAGCACATGCGTTGCAATTGTTGGTGCATTTCCTTGATTTGCCGACAGTACTTATCTACCGCAATCGTTTCGCCTAGATTTAGGAATCTGTGATAGATGAAGTCGACCGCAGACCACCAAACAGTCATCATAATTTCCTTTTGGTGCAAATCTGGATTTGGAAAGTGTTGTTGTGTCTGACCGCGGTCCAACCACTGAGTCGAATGTCGCCAGTTGTTAGAGAAAATCCACTTTTCATCGCACGTAACAATTCGATCATAAAAATGGTTGTTTTTGTTGCGGAGAAAAAGAGCAGATGACACTTCAAAACGGCGATTTTTTTTTCGTTAAATTCGTGAGGCACCCACTTATCGAGCTTCTTTGACTTTCCTGTACGATTCAACTGATCAGAAATCATTGTTTTGTTTACGCCAAGCTCCTCTACAAGCTCTCGAGCGTCCACGACGCTCTTGATCTTCCAGGTCAAATTCTCCACGACGAAACTTTTGGTACCACCGTTGAACTGTAGATTCATTAACACTTTTCTCGCCCCATACTTCGTTGACATTTCGAGCCGTTTGTGCTGCGCTGTGGCCTAACTTGTACTCATAAAAGTAAATTTGACAAAATTCCCGTTTTGACATCTAAGCAAAAACACCTAGTAAATATTTTTTAATATAATTTTGGAACAAAATGATTATTATAGAAATATAGGGCGAAAATAGAGCTTGAAAATGATATATAAACCAATGTAATTCAAAATATTTTTCTTGCTAAAAATTTACAGGAAATATAAACAATTGCAAAAACCTGAATTATTTTCCGGACAACCCGATAATTTCGAAAAAATTCACTATTGATACAATTTAAATCTGCTTTATTTGATTGCCCCCCTTCTCTTCATTTGTCTGGAAATGGAAATATGCGTTTGATTATATTGTACTGAACTATCACTTTCCTTTGCCAATAGAGTCTTGAAGCAGAGCTTTTAACTTTATTACTAAATTTGGCATTCATAATGTTTTTTAAGCTTGTTATTCATTTTGTTTTGCAAGCTTATTGATATAAGGTTTAGTATTTATGAAAATTTATGGGTACACTTTTGTTATCAGAATTCAGAAATGTATGTACGCACATGTATTATATACGTACGTATATATATATATATATATATGTGGGATGAGGTTAGGATTAAAATAGAGGAAGGCAGTGGCGTTTTAAAGGTATTTAATAATGAAAGAATAAAACATGATTATGGTATGTACAGAGTGAAAGGAAGTAAGATAAAAAGTTCTATTCATCATGAAACGGAATCACATCGTCGAGCAGCATAGTTCAGTTACATCCAACGTCAAGTCATAACCTCATCGGAATGGAAGTCTCCTTTCATTTCCTCACGCAGCTTGAAGAAGTATCTCGCTGCTGTCGCTGTTGCCAAATTTAGGAAAAGGCGGATGAGTTATAGGAGCGAATTACCATATATATATATAAATATATATGCAGACATGAACATATATATCATCTATACATACCATGCATGCATATATACATATATTTCTAAATTCGGTCCTGATAACAGAAAAGTACCAATTTTTGAAGTTTACTACATATATGCATCAACTTAACAACTTCTTTAAGGTAAAGGCGATTGCTTTCAGTGATCTTCTAAAGCAGTAATTGACCATCTTTTGTCGTTATTCAACATTTATACGATATATTTTGTCAGCTTCACAGGCAGGAAATGGAAAAATTTGTATAAATATTTGAGAAATGTAATAAATCATATATAGAGCATATTTTTTCTGTAAGATAAACTATTTAATGTTTAGATAAGGATCAAATTTGTGTTTCAGAAAGGCATTACAAACGTTTTCTCGTTAAGAACATTTTTCAGTTTTTAAGGGCATATATTTTAATTTGTATCATTTGGAAGCATTTTATGCTGATACCATTTTGGAGGTCGTGAGTTAATGCATTTTGATGGTATTGCTCATATTGGAGATAAGTCCTTTTAGAAACTTCTCCTTAGAGAAGTATTATATATATTTATTTATATTCCAGAATTACCGATCACTTTAAAAGTAATTTTCTGTTGGAAATGAGAGGGTTCACCATGTTTATATTTAATTATTATATTAAACTCATTTATTCTGAAATAAATGTGCAGCACATTCGAAAATGCGTTTGCTGGTTTTATTTCCGTAAATATTAAACCGAGACTTGTGCTGCTTTCGGCAAAACATTTTCTCAAAATAAGCCGCAGAATTATTTGCGACTTTCTTGGTTCGGAAGGTTCTGCATCAAAATATCTTCATGATTTAAATGATTAAAAATGTTAACGTACCTTGGAATAAAAGTTACAACCGATAAAGCATTCATTTAGAAAACAAGTTAAAAGAAAAAGTTCTGGACTTTTACATGCGAAAACAACCTGAGAACTTTCGTATGCATTTAATAAATTCACCAAACATTCACTACTACTTTTAGGGAAAAAATTATGGTAGCGGTAATTCACCTTCGAATATCGCCATGCATGTGTATTTTACATGCAGAACCTTTTTTTGTTTAGAATTAATTTAGTTGAAACATAACTGATATTTCTCGAAACTGGAAATTTTCGCTTACCAAGTTAGACTTATTTGTTTATAAAATCCAATCACTTTCATATCAGATTATTTTCTTAAAATTCGCACCTTTGTTTTTTAAACTGTGTAGTAGAATTAAATAAGATGTGACAATTTAATTCCTGAAATACAATTTAAAAATTTATGAGTAAAGTTTTATACTATACTGCCGTTTATAAAATATTTTCGTTATGCATCTATTCACTGATTTAGACTGTGCACGCATTGTTGGAAGTACGACTAAAATTTAATTTGTGGAATGTTACTCAATACCTGTATCACATTTCATCGGACACCAATTAATTTAGAAAATATTCTTCCGTTCAGTGAAGCTTTTAATTTTAGAAATAGTCAGCAATCACTGGTAAAGTAGTCTTTTGAACTGGCGACATGGTATAACAGCCTAATCTCTCTACTGGCCTTTACAGTATCTTATAGAAGCACACTGAAATTACTTAAGGCAGAAGCTTCCGAGAAATCCTCTTCGTGCTTAATTTAATTAAAATTGGGATGCTTCTTGATAAATATGTAATCGCCCTTTACTGTTTACTGAAGTTTACGCATACCACAGTCAGTTTACACATATTTGTTGTTTTTAGCCACTGCTGTTTAATGGTTATTTATTTATTTATAGGATCATACGTCATACATTCTCGCCCATCTTTGAGTCTCTTATTTCATTCAAAAACACTTAACATTTGGAAGAGAAAAATGCCTATGTAAAATTTAGTAGTAAAAACGTAACCGTAGCTAGGTGTAGATTTTAAGTAGTATCAATGTTTTGTGGCAAAAGTAATTTGCGCCTGAAGAAGAATGAAACTGTTTCCGATGGCCCTCGATATCTACGTCAAATACTTTTCTACACTCAGCCTTTTTTATTGCATCTCCACGTGCCACTTTTAAAACTTCTGATCCTTCAGTATCCCATTTTCCAGCTATGAGCAAACTTTTTTGCTAATAAAGATGTTCTAAATGTCCATTTCCCTTTTCTGCGGCAAACTACGCATGCAAATATCTCTTACTTTCTCAATAACTAATACCCGCCTTAATCACTTTGAATATGCAGATATTAGCTTAGACGCATTCCAGCATTGATATTTACGTGATTTTTGATGTTATTACCTCATGAACTACTCTAAGCGGCCGTTCTGAGAATACCATTTTCATAGCTTGTTTGTCTTGGATCAGTATTTTAAAATATAATATCTGTAGGCACATTTTTGGTATATTTATGTATGGTAACATGTGAAAATATTAATTTATTAACTTATTTTTATTATTGAAGAGTAGTAAACGTTTAATTATTTAAATTTTAATAGAATCACTGAGCCCATCTGAACGAAGGCATAGTATAAGTGTATGTGAATCTCCTCCGAAGTCTTGTGATCAAACTCCTTTAGATGAAATAACACCCAATGATCATTTCTCAGTATTTTCTGAGCGTTCTAGTCAATCGAGGTCGGATTACTGGAAATCTGTAAGTTATTTATTTTATTACACTTATTCATACAGTGAAAATTTTATTAAAAGTATTTTATTAGTTTATTTTACTTAGTTTATTATATTTATTATATTTATTAATTTATTTAGTTTTTCTGAATCAAAATTGTTCAAAAATGGAGCTATGTTTAAGTTTTTTATTCCAAAAATATATTTTGTAAGTGTTATTATTTAAAGAGAATAGCTTAGTGTGAAAACGTTATACTCTGTTCCAAAATGGAAACCTTTTTTTTTTTTTTTTTTTTTTTTTTTTTTTTTTTTTTTTTTTTTTTTGCACAAAATTGCCATAACGATTGAAACATTTATCTAAGATATGAACAATTTTTTTTATCCCCATCTCATAAACAGTGTCTTGTATACTGTATACTGAGGTATCATGTCACCACTATTTTGATACCCTTGTGACTCCGAAGGTGTCTTCTTGACAGCTGGGAAATGATGTAAATCACTTGTAGCCAGCCAGAGATTGTATGGAAATCTAGTCCGACTAAAAGTGTTGCAATGGCTCTTAAACCAAAATAGCTGAAGAAATATGTATAAAAAAAATAATACATTTGGCAACCGACAATGACAGTGAAAGAATTGAAGCCCCTCTGAAATCCAACCATGGAATATGTCTCGAATAATTTCACTGTTGATATTTCATAAAATGCGTGGACGATTATATGCGCAAGACCTTTCTAATCACTAGAATGCACAGAGGATATGACGTGTTTAGCCTGCAATATTCTGCCGTACATGTCAAAACAATGGTGATGCAATAATTCAGTTCCCAGGACACTACATTTTATAAAAAATGACGGCAATCACCATAGACATTGTGTATAAAGTATTGTGTATAAAGTTTTATGTCCAAATACATATTACTTTTCTAAATTTATTTTAGGGAGCCTTCTCATACTGATATCTATGTTTCATTGCTTTAGACTTAAATTTAATTGTGTTTAACTTCTGTTTACTTTTCGATCTGTATAGCTTATTTTTAAACTACAATTTGATTTTTCCTAAATTTACTTCTAAATTTCGAATATTATTAATATCAAAAATTGAATATGAGTCGATTTTCATACTGTATATTATCTACTTATGAGAGCACATACAATTTTCATGCGGAAAATTAAAAGATACTATTCTGAGTATAAGGAGTCCATAAACTGCACACAAAATACTTTTATTATATTGTTTGTGCAATTTATAGACTCCTGTTTTTGTTTTATTTTTTCATTCGATGGCAAAGCATGACCCAGCTCAATTAGAGTGTCAAAGCATTAGGTACAGCTTTATTTGAAGTTTCCGATTGCTCTAACTACTGTGGAAATGATGCATCCAGGTAACTGAACAGGACCGAATAATTGCAAATTTTGGCAATAATGTTTTCGAAGTAGATTTGATAAACATGATTTATCATTATTTTACTTTAAGATTCCAGAAACTAGAAAAATAAGATATTCTACATGTGCGTTGGATGTAATGTACTTTGGGATATATAATCTGTTCGGAAAGTGATGAAAATGATTTTTAAAAAATATTTTTTCTTCTGAACGTATATGCAGTTATACGTGCATGAACGCAGATACTGAACGAACATGCAGAATGTACTGTCTTCATGCAGTTATATTTCATGCGCTTAACTGCATTCTTTATGATAGTGGAAGTTTTTGCATATATGTTGGTCAGCTCCCTCGTTGTAGTTGCCTGGATCTTTTTAACCATCCCAAACTGATGTCCTTTAAGCTGGAGTTTGAATTTAGAGCATAAAGAAGTCACATTAAGCTAAACAAAGCTTTTGTGGTAGATACAGAAGCACTGTGATATTTTTTGTTCAAAATCTCTCTTCCCCGTAATAATATGCGTTTTAGCATTTGCTGTGTTGAAGAATTCACGTCTTTGCAATTTCACGACAGTAGAGCCAATCTTTTTTTTTTTTTTTTAACGCTTCATTACTTGTATGTACCTGTATTTGCACCTGTGTGAGTCACACTGCTTTTAATTCTGAAGTCCAAATATGCTGTGCATTCTGTTTGTTCTCAGTACCCTCTTTTACACCCAGGAAATTCTAATGTTACCTGAAAACTTGAGCTGAAATAAAACAGCATTTCCATATGCTGCTTTCAACAATGCAACATTTCCCAACCATATTTCCTGCCTTTCAGGCACAATTTGATATTGTAACGCTATTCAAAACTCCTCTGCATTTTCGCCTGTGCAAGACACAGACTCATCTGCGCTCTGTTTCAGAAATACGGACTCAACTGAGGAAGGCTTACCTGTATGCCTGAATTCTCCCTCCATTTATCTAGGCCTTGGTCCTTTTGCGATACGCAAAAAAGAAAAAAAAATCATGTTCATTACTTTGCAACGTACTAGGTAGGTCGGTCAGCTAGAACAGTAACATTTCAGAACCAGATAACATCAGCGACATGTGAAGAAAACATCGGTAATACAAGAATAAGACCTCCCCTTTCTAAAGGGCCGAATACATACTTCGCAAGCGCTCTTCTGGAATGGCCGCATCCACCAGTCGTTCACCCACCACCATCGCAAAGCGTTATCCAAGGTGTATCAGAAGATGTGGATCGATATCACAGCTGCCAGGAAAAGGGAAGGATACATCCGAGCGATCAACCCGTAAGCAGTATTCGACCCTATAACCTGGAGTTTTGATTAACAGTCAGTCTCCGCTAGCCGTTATACCATCTATGGCATTTTAGTTGCCTGGGAAGTGTAAGCAATCACTTAGAAAGGGAAAATTACATCAGATTCATCCAAGTTGAATGCCTGTATTTTTCAAATTATCACCACCGTTGATACAAAGCCCATTGAACAGTGGACCCTGCTTTGTCTGGGGAGCAAGCATTGCCATTGGAGGGCTGGCGTTATCTGACATGATTCGGTAAATCATGTTTTTGGAGCTCATGCGTATATTTATGCGTAATGCATCAGGTTATAGTTTCATATTCTAAATAAAGCACTGTACTCTTATAATGGCTTTGTCATGGCGTGGTGCAAATTTATGGGAAGGTAAATAAATATGCAGAGACCACTAGTACAAATAGAGTGTTTCTAGATAGAAATAACATGCGTAAATTTAATTGAAGACCTATTGTCTCACTTGATAAATGCAGTGTTCCATATTTTTGATAGTTTATATTAATCCGGAATGAAACTCTGTCATATATAGGGACACAGAACTGGCTCAAAGCCCCCATGTTTGCCAAACTTGAATGCTGATTAGTTGTTACCATACACTATGTAAACCTTATAAAATGTATTGTAAATAAATAAATAAATAAAAATATAAAAAAATATTAAAAAAATAAAATGTATTGTAATGGCTTTTAATAAATAGGGCTGCATTATGAGAAAATCATAGAAAGTACGTATTTGGTTACGGTGATATCAATTTCAATATCTCAATTGTCTTAAAAGTATTTTAGTATATTAGTTATGTGTACTTAATCTTTTAGCACCTCAGTATGCAATGATAATGTTTATTTTCATTAAATTTTAATGTTTTAAATAAATTTTAAAGTATTTTGACGTTAGGAACTTCTTTAATGTACACTTTAAGAATATTTTGCGCATTACCATGTTATTCTGCACAATCTGGTAAGTTTTGCCAATATATAAGACATAAAATCTGTACTTTACCTTCAATGTGGTATCCCTTAATCGCTAAATCTCTGTTTTACTTTCCAATAATATATCTAATTATCTAATTGCTATAATATAAAATGTATGTAATTTATAATGCATCCAACGGGCAATTTTATAAACACTTAAAGCTTTTTGTGAGCAATAAAAGGTGTTTTAATGCTCTATATTAGCATATTGGGACATAAACTTTCTTATTCTAGCTTACAATAAAGCTTGATTTTTTTATTATATGCTCTAAATTAAATTAAATGTTTTGATATTTTATTATATTCTTTCAGTCACAATGGCAATCTCTTGAGTGCCTATCATTAACGCTTGAGGAGGTTGTGCACATTCGAAATGTTCTCACAAAAGCCGAATTAGAATCACTTATAGTGAATCCAGCGCTTTATGAGGATATTCGTAAGGGAAAAGTAAGAATTTTATTAGTGTTCTAATCAATTAAATTTATTGCAAATTTTAACTATCAAATAATGTGTATTTATGTTTGTTTATTAAGTATTTTGTATTTATGTTTGTTTATTAAATATATTAAGCATAATATATTTTATTACAGGTATGCTTCACGTGTAAACAAGTTCGTTTCTCTTTTTTTGGGCAGTGGGGTGTAAAATGCAAAATGTGCGAAAGATCAGTCTGCGATAAATGCAGTAGTAAGGTAAAAGTCATAATCATTCATTTCTTTCTTTTATCTGGAAATTATTGTTTTGTCATGAGCTGATCAATTTATAGCAGAAAATAATTTTTATCCTATGTGTCAAACTAATAACTATAGATTTCGAGGACAAGGATACAAATCTAAGCAAAAGGAATTAGATTTTGCATAATAAATTCAACCACTTGCATATGAATAAGATATGCATATATTAGTAAATTGTATACTTAAATAAACTTTTAAATTCTGCTAATTTTTTTAAATTCTGCTACTTAAAATTTCTTTTTCGTGAACGAGTAGAAATTGTGTGTTATAAAATTTTTTTAAAAAACTGTAATCAGTTATCAGTCGGATTTATGAAATGTGCAAGAAGCTGTTACTGTCAGTCTCTAGCTTTCTGTGAATTAGAACCATATTTTAAAAATTAAAAGCATTTAAAGTCCACAGTTAAGTCTGCATGTAATCAAAGGCATATTTGCTTTTATTTGTTGTGCCAAATACTTCAAAATTTATGGTTTTTGATTTACAGTAGATATTTTTATATCCATCAGTATTGCAAATGATAGATACAACTTTGATCATGTCTTCTTGATTCAGAACTATTGAAATCAGAAGGGAAATGTGGTCTGTATTAAATTTAAAATGACAGACTGTTTGAAAAAAGCAATTTTTCCTCCTTTGGTGGGCACTTACCCGATTTACGCTTGGCCACTACTAAGGACGGAAATGGGGGCCACTTTAATGCGGAAGTTCCTAAAGTGGGCCACCGTTACCTCCTATGAAGGGGCGGAGAATTACAGCCATGCGTTCTCCGGGATTCGAACTCGGTCCCTTCGGCACCGCAGTAGGCTTTCCTAACCACTATATGTCTGGGTGGCAAAAAGCAATTACATAGTTATTAGAGGAGAATTCTCCTTTACAAATGTTTGCATAATGAGATCTTCAATGACTGCAATAAAATGTTCTCCTGCCTTTTCTTTAGAGATTAATTTGTATTAATTTACAGATGCGCATTCCAACTGAACATTTTGCAAGAATACCTGTGTATATGCTCAGTCCCACTCCCAGTCCTCCTCCAGAAGAAGAATCTAGTCACTCTTTCTGGAAGTTCTCAGATGTTTTTGGAACGTAAGTGGAATTCCAGTATTAATAAACCTTCCAAATTATTTTTGTAAATGAGTGATTCTTATTTGCTATTTTTATAAATAATGCAAATATATAAGTATTTTAAATGGTTAAATTCTTATCCTCTTCAGAAGCATTCAAGAAAAGCTCTTCTTGAGCGGCAAACAAGTGAACAAAACCCTTTCTCCTTTTTTCTTCATTTATATTAAGAAATAGACCTGTAAGACATCACATGAAGAATTCCTCCTTTGTATATATATATGTTATATAAAAATTAAATATGTTATAAATGCTTACTTTTATTTTATACATAAATTAAAGAAATCTCCGGATTATTAAATACAGTAATGTCTCCGTATCCACCAGTAATACATTAAGATATGTAAGACCAGTAACACATATGAGACCCATGTGTTATCGAACACTATGTACAAGGTATTCGGAAGAAGTTGTTTCTGATTTTCTTAAATATTTACTAGGTCTTTCCTAGTACGAAGTTTCCCGAAGTAAAGGAGAAAATTTTATAAGAGCAGCTTAAAAGCAAGGTGGTTTTTATAAATAAAAAATCTAGCGTTTTAAGCGGTCTGTGAAGCACACTTCCAAATAATAAAATGCCCATTATACATTAAATAAAGTAAACACAAAAGTTTCATATATTTTATGTTCAAAATTCGCTGAAGTATTAGTAATTATTGTGCAAAGTCCGAAATCCGGACATTCAGTTTCCGGAATGATCTAATATCCGGACCACCAGACTGAAAAAAAAAATCATATAAAAAATCTAGCCCTACTTAGTCTAGAGATGGAGAATATAATACTTAACAAAAGGAAGCAGGTGTGCCTAAATGCGTTTTTTCTCTTGACTGACCGAAACTCCTGCATGTCACTTTCAAACTCCTGCTGGTCATGATATCCTAAGATGACCAATGATAATACATTGATTGACGCTAGCCATGATCATACTTTTGGTCGTTGAGTGATTCTAAGTAAGGGTTATCATTTTTCTATCTGACGTAAACAGTTAGAAAAGCTCCAGTTTTCCCATGTCTGCTTTTCATCGTACTAGATTTAAGCTGATAATCTAAAATTCGAAAATTCCCGACGATTCCGTATATAAAATTTTGTACTGTCATAGTTTCATGAGGTGCGTTACAAAGTTAATAATCTGTATTACCCAATGTGAAATAATTAATCGCCTAACGAATCAGCGTGCAACATTAGTTTTGTAGTTTCTCTCTCAAAAGCACAATGCCCATTTTACTCTTTTTAATATTTCTATTGCCAGTTTTCCTTAGAAAGTCCTCCATGAAGGCATCCCTCCCTTTAGGCAGATAGCCCTCGAGGCTTTGCTATAATCACATGCACATGCACATACACACTATTGGAGGGAGATCTTTTAAGCTAGATTTTTTTCACGTACAGAATTCTCTAATTTGCAACGCTGAAACTTTTTTTATGTCTTTACATTGTAAGGATCTTAAGTTTTACTAACGTTTATTTTATTTTAAATCTTTACTGTCACTTCTTATTTTCTACTTCCGGCCAGAATTAAAAGCTTTAACTTATTTATGCAAATTTGTCTTGCGAACGCCAAGTACTTAAGTTGTGGCTTTTTGCCAAGCAAGAGAGAGAGGAAGGAGTTAGTCGAAGCAGGCCACTTGCCTTAGCAGTTTACTCGGTTGCTGGTTGCCTTCCAGGCCAGAGGTTTAATCCTCTTCATAATTTTAAACGTATTGTAGTGTTCACAGTTCTCTGTACTACATACGGCTTCCTGTTAATATACGGCCAATCTTCCACGTAGGCCCTTGTTTATTATTCCAAAGTTAAGTTAGAGTTTAGTTAATATTTTTATATTCTTACGTTCAGACCACAAGTGGTTGGTCTCTGTATTCCGAAGTCCGGAAATCATTGTAAAGAGTGAAAAATAAAGGGTTTCGTATACCCTTCCTGTGTATCTTGTCTACTTCCCACATTTATTGAACATAGCTTTAGTAAGCTCCCTGTTCCGAGTCAGGTTCTTGAATGTTCCCAAAGCAAGTAAGGCGGAACATTGAACCTGATAACATTTTTTAAGATTTATTCGTTACCGTACCTTTGCAAGTTGAAGTACATGTCTAAGATTAATATTTAAGGAAATATAGCTTATAACTACCTCTTTAAGATGACCTGCAAAATGTGGCATTCGTGTTATGTACATTAAAGCTGCAGACTTATGCGATTGAATTATGCACAGCAAGATACTGCCTGTATTAAATCAAATAAATAACTGTCATTTTCAAGGAATGACATGGCTATGAAAATTATGCTTTCTGTAATGCACTGCTAAGCAATGAAATATTGATCAGAATCGCACGTTTTTGTGCTTGTGATCAGGATTACAATGATACAGCACTGGAACGAGTTTAGGTCGCTGTAATTCACTACTTTGCGGCTCATTCAATTCTTGATGAGCATTTTGTATTTTAAAAATCATTTGTTTCTTAAATTTTCAAAAACAGTTTTTCGGTCTGTGGTATGAAAGCGCGATAAAATTACGAATTTAGAAATACGCTTTTGAATTTAAATGAAATACGAATTTAGAAATACGCTTGTGAATTTAGATGAAATACGAATTTAGAAATACGCTTTTGAATTTAGATGAAATACTAATTTAGAAATACGCTTGTGAATTTAGATGAAATACGAATTTAGAAATACGCTTTTGAATTTAGATGAAATACTAATTTAGAAATACGCTTTTGAATTTAGATGAAATACTAATTTAGAAATACGCTTGTGAATTTAGATGAAATACGAATTTAGAAAATCGCTTGTATAAGCTGTAAACTGTATTATTAAAAGAAAATAAGTAGGTTGTTGCTTTAGCTTTTTCTCTGCGGTTGTTGCTTTAGTATTTTAAAATATACATCTTTTCGTCGTCGCGTAAAATATATATGTATACATAAATTATTATAATATTTTATTTATGTCATTTAGAAATAAGGTTAAAAATACAATAATAAGTAACTTCCGCGCATTCATTTTAATTAAAATAAAAACTGTTTATAATTGCTGAACACTTTTAATTTAAGGGATGACCAAAATGTTTTAGGTCGAAAACTGAATGGTCCAGTGGAAATTTGTTTAAAAAATATTGCAATAAAAATAAAATCATTGAGGAGTTTCCCCACTCGTGAATCTAGAGAATGCCTTTTTGGGTAGATGTCTGTTGTCTGATTTGGCCGAGGGAAATCGGCATCAGTTTCTAGGACGTTTCCAGAAAGCGGAAGATGGAGAAGCAGTCTAACAATCAAAGTTTATGATATCCTAAAGGCTCTGTTTCATAAACCTTGCCGTAGGGCTAGGATCTCCTTTTAAATGTCTTTTCTTCTACACATCTGAGCAACCAAAAGTGGCGTGCAGTTTTTCTATTTTTCTCATGTGGCGCTATAATTCTTAGATTCAAAAAACGGGTTTTATTTGTTGAGTTATTACATTCTAAATGATGATTAAAGATGTTAGATTAGATACTGATAATTGATTGGTAGAAAATATGCAGTTTCATCAGTGTATGCAAACTTCCGTCATGTGCAAATAGCGTAAAATTTTCGAAATAAAGAAAAGGAAAAAAGACCCCTTTTTAATGATTAAACCATACAATAGAAAAGTATACTGATAGAAATAGTTAGTTATTACTAAATAATTGTATTTGTTTGTAGGATCTGATTATCGCCTATAATGATTGGACCTTTGGCCACAAATTTTGGAAGACTTCAGAACCATCCTTTGCTTCCTCATAAAAATTCTTTACCTTTATAAAGATATAAAACTGGTCATCCAGGTTTCCTGAGTATAAATGTCACAGAGGCATAAAATGCGGGAGTTCCCTTCACACCCGCGAGACAGGGTCTAATTAGACAATTAGAAAAAGCTAAATTTGCGCATGCGTGGATGTGAGCTTTCCCACTCAATATGTTTCACGCGTTTGCTCTGATTGGGAGACTCTTATACCAAGTCGGCATAAGATAAAAAACTTCGAACTTTATACCAAAACCCCTAAATCAGTTTTTGTGGCGTAAGCAAGGTCTGGTTACCTACCAACGAAGCTCAGCTTAAATCAGTTATGACATTTATACCACCATCTGAACGGAGCCTGAACAAATTCTGTGGTTAAGGTTTAAAAATAACTTAGTAGGACGCTGATGTGTTTTAGCTGTCCTATTTCTGTTTCATACCTTGGCAGTATGAGGGTGCAAAATGTAGTTCGTTATGTTGTCCCTTTTGTAGTCGTTACCAACCTTTTTTTTTTTTTTTTTCTTTTTTGTAATTTCATGTTACAACAGCAAAACTAGACTAAGATAAACGTCTGTCGTTTAAGAAACCACAAAAATGCACATGTATATATAAATTTTATTGCATTTGGGTGCAAGGATATTATAAATGACCATACCGTATATTCAAGAAATTTGAGTGCAACAAGTACATGGCTGGAATTTCTCACGTCGCTAGATTGTAACTTTTATCGAGAACATGTACGCAACATCCGTGCGACTACAGAATTATCATCCGAATTTTATGATCATTCCATATACTTAAAGTTCGCAACTGCTTAATGTTTAAAATTGTATTTGATTAATATATTAATATTTTTTTTTTTTTTACTTTAGTTCCGAAGGGAAGGAAAATTCTCAGGCTACTCCAAAAGTAACAAGGCAAAAGACAACTGTTGAGGATGTTCCAGCGAAGAGGAGGCTTACCTTTCGTCATTCCGAATCTGTACATGTGATAGCTAACAAAAAAGATAGAAACTCATTACCTGCGGCCCCCAGAAAGAGGGCACCTTTACAACGATCTAAAACTCTTGTACCTTCTGAAACATTAAATGAAAAGAACAGTCCGTGTCAAGACGATAAAATGAAAGGACCTATAGAATCAGTTTGTCGTGAGTGCAAAGTAATGGTCTGTAATATCATATTGGCCAGTCAGGACAAAGTGAGCTTCAAACAAAGGAGGAAACGAAATTCAAGAACCTGGCCGCAAAAAAGAATGCATATCACTAATGGAAGCTATACAAAATAGTTCATAGTAAAAAAAAAAAAAAAAACTGATGTATATGATGTATTAAAAACGATGTATCCTGTGTTTCTACTTTTGAAGTCTAACTCTGTAAAAAAGTATGCAGATATGCTTGAACCTTCTAAAATGCAAGTTCTTTCCTATAATCAAATGTTTTGTGGATTATGGAAGTGGACTTTTAAATTAAGCATTTTACTGAAGAATTTTTAAGTTTTGCTCTGTTCTAACAATTGTTACAAATTAATGTTATGATAAGTTTTGTCAAACAAAACCGTTTTGAGTCAACATTAATTTCATATTAAGTTGATTCTGTGCATCCTTTTACAAAGAAATCACAATTTTATGCAAAGTACTCAGTTGTGTTTGGAGAAAAGTGGTACATTTCATAGCAAAACTAAAAAAATATGCATATTTTTAAAATTTCCCAGTAATTCCTGCACGCTTTCTGTATTTTGTGTAATAAAATTTCATTTAAATGTTAATATATTTAATTTAATTTTGATTGTAGTTATGTTTAGTATTTTTCTCTTAAAAATATTTATTCATTTTTAAAAAACTGATATGCATGTTAAGTACACATATTAAAAGATAAATACTTACAAGAATATAATCCTACTGTGCAAATCATAGGATTTTAAACGTTTTAAATTCTTCTAAGGTTGTATAGTTTCAGATCAGCAGCAAGTGTATGTAGCGTGATTCATATTTTAACTGTATTCTGGGAAAGAGGGATGGAATAACTAGGTTTAGAATTCTTATAATTACAATTTCATTCACTGCAACTTTCAGAAATTTTATGGGAACTGAATCATTAAAATTTAAGATGATTTGGTTCATAACTGAAATAAATTTATTAATTATTCTAAATATGAATCAGATTTCTTATTTGATATGTTATTATCAAATAAGAATCATTTAGATGTCTAACTATAGGTCAAAGAAAGCATCATAAAAATAACGAAAATCTTAGAATATAAATTTTGAAAACGTTTTCCCTAATTTGATTTTTTCCATTTGCGTGATATTTTAATGGATATATTATACAATTTCATATATTTTATTGTATAAATTAACGCAGCTGATTATACAATATTCAGTAAATGATTATTTGTTCATTTCATAACCTTTGGAAAAACTTTGAAACTTCTCATTTTTTTTAGTAAATATTGTGATGCAATTTCGGACAAAATGTTAGTAATCAACTGCTGATAATCGATTAATTAAAACTGTTAGTAATTTTAAACCTAAATTATGCTGGGAGATGTTTTATATTTTTGAGGTACAGAATGTTCTGTTTCAACAGTGGTTGAAATATACATAGAATACAGAGCAAAAATTTTCATTCTGTCTTTTTTAAAATTTGATTAAATACATTTTAATTTTACTTTTAATGTTTAAAAGTGAATTTTTTATATCCCAGTGGGAAAAAAATTAATAAATTTTAAAAGAACTGTTAGAATACTTTTTCTTAATACCTGTGAGCAAAATAGGTAAGCGTGGAAAAATACACCAGACATTTTTATACTTTTACTGTTGTTTTAAAATATGCGTATTTAAGAACTGTGTTTTATGAAAACAAATATAATGGCCTACTTTATTGTTAAAGAAATTGTTTTTCTAGGGAAGAAAAAAATAACTTCCATCTGCTAACTACTACTTTCTTCTAAAGAAAAGAAGAAAATATTGCCCTTACGTTCCTCTTAAATACCAATCTGAAGTTTCAAAATTATAGTTGTTGTTAACTAATTAATATTTTGTTGAAAAATTATGCTATACGAACGAGCTTTTCAACTGGCGCGCCTTTCTTTAAATTGTTCTTAGTACGATTTACAAATGCTTGACAAAATGAGAATTTTTTTAAAAAAATTGGCTGTAATATATATAGTCTCAGAAGCAGAATATTATGTATATAATTTTTGAAATATACATTTTATCAAAAGTGAAGGAATGGAAATTATTATATTTCTTAGTTCAGGAGTTCATCAGATTTATGTATATAAATATACCCGAAATTTTAATTTGGCAGTGTGTTATTAAAAGTGAGTTAAGTTATTTATGAAGTTAATTTTGCTTGCATTGTGGCTTGTAGACTTTTTTTAAATTGCAACTCAAATGGTGAGACCATAATCGTTAGGTACTTTAGGCTGTACAGTCAGTGACTGTTTTGTATATAGTATATATTTGCTACTAGTACCTTCCTTATAATGACTGTTTGTATATATTTGTAAAATATTGAGGTACTGTATGTACGTTACTTAAATTGTACATTTGTGACATTATGTACTGTTTTATGTCTGCATTAAATAACTAATTAAACTCACTTAGGTCTCTTTCTTTCTTTTTTTTAAGCCAGAATATTGTTAGCCCAGTCTTGAAACGGCATTTTGCGTCGAATTACTAAAAGTGTTGTATCAATTGTTGCCACCAAATATTATCACCATGTATTATATTTAAATAAATTAAATAATGAAGAATCTGCATTGAATGTATATATATTTCTGGCACTGTGAAAAAAAAAACAAAGGCAACTAGAACCATCGAATTTTGGATAACGTAGTCCTCCTCCCGAATATGAGCACCTGGAAGCCCGAATTTTGAATTTAAAATTTGTTTCATTGTCTATTTCATATTTTGTTTAAATTTAACGAATTTTTTTATTAACAAACTCAACGATTTCAAAGCGGGCAGTGGCAACACTGTGCGGAATAAAACATTTTTATCTCCAACGCGCGAGACTATCGGAAATTATAAAGATAGGCTGTTTTTAAACATTTTTAGCCCAAATGCTCTCGAAACGTGTATGTGTGTGTAAATGAAGAAAACGCCCTTTAGGACCTAATTTAAAATCTAAAAGCTTTTTTTTTTGTTTGTTTGTTTGTTTGTTTGTTTAGTTTTGTAACGCCAGAAGTGTTTTCTTTATATTTACATCCGCTTTTATATTAATCTTGCATTTATGTATTTTTAAAGGGCTGGAGTTGTAGTTTGATGTCAGATTAAAAGTAAATAATTAACAATATTGAAAGTTTGCACTATTTAACTTTTTAGGAATGGTGTATTAAACTGTTTTAATGATATCCAGGGCAGCTACTACCAAATAACAATAATAATAATTTATGCAATATATATGTAAGATAAAAAAAACTGATGACTCAAAATTATAACTTAAATTAGCAATAGTCTCATTTTAATTTGTGTATCTCCCCTATCTGTTCTAAATACACTCATGTCCATTAATTAAGGATAATGCAAAATCAGGCAAAGGAAGAGTTAGAAGCAAAACAAATTTGGCATATTTGTAAAGCTTATTTATTAAACAAAACGTAAAGAGCAAAAAAAGTTGCTATATGTTTGATATTATTAAAAAAATTACCGATTTTTTCTACCTGGAGCAAATTACAAAAAAAAAAAAAAAACCTATTTTCAAAAAACCAATATTACATGGTTGGTATGATTGTTAATACATTGTATGTCTCCCAGACGATGCAATACAGTCCGTACAATGCCTAGGCATGCTGAGTATTAAATTATCGATCTGATCTTGGGAGATATTACACCACTCAAAAAGCAATGCTCTCCGAAGTTCCGGTAGACATGTAGGAGGAGGTTGACGGGCTGCAACTCGTCGGCCAAGCATGTCCCACGCGTGCTCTACTGGATTCAAGTCCGGTGAGAATGCTGGCCAGCCCATACGGGTGATATCCTCCGATTGAAGGCATTCGCTTACGATGTTTGCACGGTTTGAACGGGCGTTGTCATCCATAAACACAAATTGTGCGCCCGTGGTGCCTCGAAACAAACGTACATGTTGTTCCAGAAAGACGTCCCGATAGATTTGGCTTGTCATGGTTCCAATTTGAACATGCAGGTAAGTTCTGGAACCCAGAATAATTCCACCCCAAACGAGCACTCCTGCACCACCGTAACGGTGTCGTTCAATGACGTTTTCTTGGTGGTAACGGGTACCTGGAGCTCTCTATATGAAAGTCCGGCGAGAATCAGACTGCAAGCTAAACTTGGACTTGTCGGAAAACATCACACAAGCCCACTGTGTCCACGATGCATGCTCTCTACTCCAGGCTAACCGCAGACGACAGTGAGTTGCAGTAAGTGGAACGCATCTGACAGGTCTACGAACATATAGACCAATCTGCCCTAAGTGTCTGTACACGGTCTGCCTTAAAATTGTCGTACCAGTTACTGAAGAGAGCTGACGAGACAGGTCTGAGGCTGTGCTCCGCCTGTTTCTTTTGGCAGTAACTGCCAAATAGGTCCTCATTCGGCGTTGTAACTCTGGGGGCGACTTGTGTTGTAACGTCTACTCACATTACCATCATCTTGGAATCGTTGCCAAAGCCTGGAGATGACACTCTGGGCAATTCCAAGTTTGTCTGATACTTCCAGTTGGGTACGCCCACATTCCAACGGCCGAAAATTCTACCACGTAAAAAATCATCCAAATGCCGCCTTTGTGTCATAACTATTCGGTTATTGCACTGAAATGCTTATAAAGCGCCTGCGAACAATTTTACTTCTTTGCCTGTATTTTTTATATATCACTCTCTTACACTCTCGTCATTGTGACGAACCATCGGTGTCATCTGGTTACTTCCTGAAATTTGCATATGATTCTTGAAGATGTGTGTAGTGATTTTACAGGTGATATATTTATTTTAGAGTTCGATTTCCGCGTGACCTCGAATTATCCTTAATTTATGGACATGAGTGTAGTTTATAATATTCTTTCTGGGATTCGATTGGACTTTTCTGGGATCTGCCATCGTATCCAGTCACAGATCCAGAATTTAAATAATGAAATTAAGTTTATAAATATCCCTGCTACTAATGTGAGCCCTTTTTTTTCTGCTTCCCCTTTCTAGCCACATCTGCTGCTGCTCCGCTTCGCCATTGTCTAAAGAGATGTAAGCTGTAAAAAATTGCGGAATGCATAGTGCACCCATAAATATGCTGTGTGAATCTCTTTATGCATATCGAGGCTTGCTCTATTACAAAAATAAAATTATTTGTTTAAATCAATGGTCACGTCTGAAAGCTTTCTTTCTTCGTTTTCTCATCTTAAAGATCCATGCAGTTGTTTTTCTAATCCTCAAGTCATCTACAGAAATAATTCTGTAGATGACTTGAGGATAAAAACCACCAAATAATGCCTAAATAATTATTGCCACCAAATTATTTGGTAAATATTATTGCCAATATTCGGTTAATATTAAATAATTTGGTTAAATATTATTGCCAATATTCGGTTAATATTAAATAATTTGGTTAAATATTATTGCCACCAAATTATTTGGTGGCCAAATAAGGTGGCAATAATTTGAAAAGTGAGACGCCGTTATTAATGATTTAACACAAAATGCCGTTTCAAGATTAATATCCAATTCGGGACTAACGTGCCTTTGGAGCTCAAAATTATAATAACAGATTTATACAGTAATAGTTATTTATTACACTTTGTTAAAATTATGTATATATAGCAAAATTAAGTTTAGAAAACACTCATATTTTGATCAATATATAAATGAAAAAATTAATGCGTAAAATTAAACCCAATGTAATCAAACAGTTAATTACAAATGAGGATCAGCATATTATCTTAGATTACTTGCAGTGAAAATCAACAGGGAAAAAGTGAGAGCGGAAAAAATCCCTCTTGTATGATTCATGTCCATCCTCCCTTTTTCATAAATAAATCAGTCCGGATGGCAGATCACGGTTGAATTATACTATTAATATAAGTTTCGTTGTTTCTAGCTTCGAAACATAGTAATATAATGAAGTGAACAAGCTTCAGTTATTTCCAAAATCTTTCTTAGGTTCTTTCCGTAGACACCTTTTCATCTTTTGTCAACAGTTAACAAACAGAAGAATCTTTTCCTAGCGATTTTTCAATTTTGCCATTCATATCTTATGCTGATTATTTAAAAAATGGAAATATTTTGGAAAAGGTTTAGGTATATTTGAATTCAGTTTTGCATTCACTTTTTATTTGTCAGTTTTTCGTGTTCAGTATTTCATACTTCTTGTACGTATTTTAACTTTTTGTATTACAATTTATTTTTGCATAGTGTTAAAAAATTTTACACGGGAACCACAGTATCTTATTTGCTTTTAAGCAATAGTTTGAAGAATTTCCTTTTTACTTCGTTTTCAAATTTTGCAGCTCAATGCGCAAAAGTTTTGACCACACAGGTCTTTTTTAGTTTGTTCTCCTTTCTTCCTTTATATATATATTATAAATCCTGAATTATAAAACTTCATATCATGGCCGTTTTTACAAACTCGTTCTTTGGGTAAAATTCCAGCCTCTGAAAAATTCTATCGCTTCTTCTTCATTCGAAGGAAGTTGGAAATGTTGATATTCATTGGGAAAAAAATAATTACATAAAGTTTCACGTGTTTAACCTAAATGTAATAATCCACGTAAATGTAGCAAAAAAATGATGTGGTAATAGCAAGTGCGTGATAATACTCTTTATTTTAACGACCTCTATAACCTATGTTAGGGTTAACCTTTATAATCTACAAGGGTCGCCAGTTTCCGCGAGATATCTAGGTAGTCGTCATAGCACGTAAGTACCGAGTATTTTTTATCACTTATGTTTTAAAATAAGTTTGAAGATCCGTTTAATAAACTGGAAGAATATTCTGGAAACTGTATTGCCTTTTTTGAATGTTTAATGTTCACTGTTTTTCGTCACTTTAATATTATAGCAATAAAGTGCTTAAGACGTCCTTCCCATATCCAGGTCTACTATTTCACGATTCAGTCTGTAGAGCAGCTAAAGCTTTCTCATTAAAAATTTAACAGCTGCACTGACATTCTGCTTCACTATACAGGAAGGAAATTAAAATTTTGCCTGATACAGCTGGAGACATTTTAATGCTATCATTCTTTTCTATTTCATACATTTTTTTAAATGTAGGACACTAGAATTTTTTAAATGTAGGACACTAGAACAAAAGGTAGGATCTTTTGGTTACTGAAATTAGAATTTCTAAACTGTCCAAAAGTGCTATTATGTAATATGTAGTCTTAAACTTGAAAGAATGATTGAACATAAATAACATTTATGTTTTCAAATGACGGTATAAAAGATGTTTGATTGGAATCTTTCTGATTGAACCAATCATATCGTACAGATTTTAATGAATGCACTGCGTCAAACAATATAAATAAAGGAAGATTTTGCCTTATTAAGTTTTCAAATGAAGATTTTAATGTACCACCAGAAAGCATTCCAAAACATATTCCTAGTAATCCTATTACTGCTTGATTTTTGAGTTATAATTCGATAGCCACAA